ATTTGATGGCCATGAGAGTGGCTTATCAGCTGACTGGATCAAATGAAGTACTACCCCATTTTACAGATAAACTGAGACATGGAGATGAAGCAACTGGCTCTAGTTTCACAGCTAGTTGCGCTACGAGCTAGGACTCAAATCAAGGCAGCATGACTCCAGTAAAAGCTCGAGCCTATGGTCCTACGCACTACACTCACTGTACAACAAATGGCTCTCGTCGAGATCTACAAAACTATGAAAAATGGTGTCTTGTACATTTCTTCTGTATCGTGTAATGCATGAACATGGGCACTCTTAGATTCCACTTCCACCTATCATACATACCATCTAAGCTAATAGATCCTATCTCTGGGCTGGACACTAGCAGCACAACATACCCAAATAGACTTTGGCCAACACCACCTAGACTTAGGAAGCAATTTATCTGGCATGAGATTACTTACCATCTACACTAGCATCATCCACCAAAATTATTTCCTTCAGCAGTATGGCCGGTGAAGAATAGAGCACACTGTGAACCGTCCTAAGCAGTGTGGACCATGCTTCATTATGGAAAACTATTATGACACTGGTGGTAGGCAGAGGAGGGCAGCGCTTAAATTTTTGCTCAATGCATCTAGAAGTCAAAGAAATATATACCATTACCGATTTTATTATTTTATCTCACAGCTATACCATTACTAAAATTCTCATTATCTAACTTTTATCCTTTTGAAAATGATCGTAAAGTTATATAACTCTAAACAGATCAAAATAATTTATTTTACAAGTGGACCATTTATCCAACAATAATTTCCACCAATATGGATTACAACATATCAAATATTTTTAAGCAATATAATTTTAAATATAAATACAGCTTGAAAACTGAGTGAATTATAAGTGAAACAACATGCAAAATGGCAAATACTTCTAAGTTTCAAAAAAATACATTCTCCTCCTGGTCTAGCAGAAATCATCCTTTTTCTTATTTGTTAACTTTGAAAACTGTGTAATGTTAAGAAATGAATACACATTCTCTTAGATAGTCTTTTAAGCTATTTTTCCAAGTGCATTACATGGTGCAAGTTCATTTAATTAAATGTTAAATCTACACATGAACAAAAAAAAAAAAGTAAAAGAAAAAAGAGCTTACCCTAAAATCTATTTTTTATAATCATCCAATTCAGCAAATACTTATTGAGTACTTACCATTTTCCATGTGCTGCTAAAAAAAAAAAAGGTGCTCCAATAATCTAAAATATCATTTGAATAAGACTTGTGTTTAAATTGTTCCTTTAAAAAAACCTATTTAGAAATTTAAAATAAAATATCTACATACATGTTAAAAGTCACAAATAAACTTCCGGAAAATTGTAACAGAATGAGAAAAACAATGATCAAAAGCAGGTTAAATGTTGTGCTTTCTGCTCAAGATGCAGAATCTTAAAGCATCTGTCACCCTCTGAAATGTTAATGGAAACAGGGAGAGTATAAGCAGTTCTTAAATAATCGCTGGTGTTATCTACTAGCTAGAAATATTAGTTATAAGTTAACCTTGAATTCATTTTATAAAATGTCTCCCTCAATAAAAATGACCTAACACCACTGGGATAAGGGGTAGCCTTTGAGACGAGAGCCCCCGGGCTCCAGCCCCTTATGTTTCTGTGATGATCGAATGATTCAACAAATTCCACTTAAAATAACAATAATAGCATGTTCAACTTTAAGTGTCTTGGTCACATGTCACTACAGTAGCGCATTAAGGTAATTTGCCAAAGTGACTGTACGTTTCCAGTCAAACCTTTTGGAAAGGCTGGTGGATAGAAACATGCTTACGTGACCAGTCACATGCACATATGGCTTTTGGAGAAACTCGTTCTGTATTCCCAATGAGCATGAAAAAAACTAATTCTTTAGAAAACGTGTTCCTTCTTGACATACAAATATGTTCATTAAGTCTTCCCAACTCTACCCAGTTCTACGATCTCCACCAGCGTGTGTGTGTGTGTGTGTGTGTGTGTGTGTGTGTGTGTGAAGCTCTTAATGCAGTTAGTGAATTGTCAAGTTACTTAATGATTAACATTACGGAAAGGTATTGCAGCTTCTCAATGCTGTATCAGCAAAGCAGATCAGCTTGAGCTAATACTGATAGTCGTGTCAAAGACATGAAAATCATGTCTCCTGATTTGTGATATAGCTTACTCTTCAGTCAGGACCTCCCTAATATCAGTAAAGTGTAATATTACCTTCAAATATTAATAAAAGAAAGGAAGGGTGCCCTCTTAGAACAGTGAGCATATTTTACATTCTCATTTATTTCTTCATACGGTCATCTGAAAATTATGAGCAACTCAACCTTAAGTCATATAAATTAGAATAAGAGAAACCTAACCTGTACAGCGTCAACAGGAAAGGCCTCATATAGTTAGAGAAGGTATTAATCATAAATCTAGAAAAACTAGAGTGAATCGATAGGATGAAGCTTATGAAAGTCCTCTGTCAGGTTCACTGGCAAATGTGAGCCTGCTATCACCAGAAAGCACATACGTAGGCACCGTTTGCTTATTGTTTGCCTTTGTGACAGGATAGAATAATTATATGATGGCTTATAAGTGCTGGGATAAAGATTTAGCCATTTCGGTCCAAGTAGAGTGTTTGAACATTACCTCACACAAAGCAAAATGCTTAACAAAGGACAAAAAGTCAGCTTCGTGGAATTAGAATTACTAATCAAAATACAATATACTTGAGACAAATAATAAAATAACTTAATAAAAGGGAATGTTGGCCTCTCACTAGCTAAAGGGGAAACAAGCACTTAAATATCCACAAAGATCCAGAGAAAGTAGCATAGTTGAAATACTAATTATAAAAATATTCTCCCCTTCAAACTCATGCAAAGCACAAGGCATTCTGATATATAATTAGGGCACGGAAAGTAGCCACAAAGTCTGTGACTTAATGAGTCTCTATAGCCATTTCTAATAGTGCTGAAGTCTTGGCACATTTCTTAACTTGTCTATCCTAGAATTCTAGCAATTCCTAGGGAAACAATAACAAGTCCACCTCTTACATTTCCCACCACTGCCCTATAGTCCCTCCTTCACAAATAAAAAGCCCGAAACATTTACGAAGTATTTCTTTGTGAATCTAGAGAGATCAGATTTAGATTTTTTTTTAAGTTTGCTCATTTCTATGCAAGTAACTTTACATATCTTCCATTGCCTTCACCAGCATGGCTAAAGAGTAAAGCAAAAAATAAACAAAACAAGTCAATGGTGCTTGCTGATTTCCCCCGTCAGAGTTGACTGAAGAATAAGCAACTTCCTTAGCTAATATGGATATTATTCAACGTACTCAGGTGGCCGAGTGTCCGGTCCAAGGTCTCGGTGTAAAGAAATCCTGTCACTCGCAAAAGCATTAAAACAGTGCTTGGCTTCCCCGAGTTGCTTTTCCTTTAGCTCTTCAGCAGTTAAAGTGGTTATCTTGAATGGTTTCCCAGAAGCACCTGGTGCATTAGAATCCTGAGGAGGACGATCCAGAACAGGCTTTAATTCTGCAGCTGTATAATAACCTTGCAAACAAGGTCTCTGACCAGCATCGATGCTTTGCCTGATAGGGGCTCCTATCTGCATTTTTGGCATTGCGTCTTTAATATTGTTTACAGCTTCAAGCATTAAATCTAACATCTTGTTTTTGTTTTTCATGTTTCTTTCCATCCTTGTTTCCTCTTTGGAATATTGAACATTCATTTCTCTTTGCATTAAAATCAAAAATATTATGAAGAAAGCAATTACAGCACCAAGCTTCCAGAACTTTTTATGGTAATGTCTCTTAAGATTTAATTTTACTAGTCGCCTTAAGTGAGCCATTCTGACATTAAAAGCTTGTCACTTGAGAAATAGCAGTTACAGTTTCTTCTGTTACTTATATTTTTTATCATAGATTTGCTGGCAAGAAGGCTTCTTTATATGGTAATACCTAGAAGCAAAATGATAGATGACATTAGTAGCTGTCCTATAGGCATGTCTCAGTTCATTCACCCAGGCACCAAATGAGCATGAGCTATGAGCATTAGGCTCGTTTGGTTAACAAGAATCTCAAGACGTTTGCCCTCAAAGAAGCCGCCCTTGCACAAGCACAATTGGCATAACTAACTATAATCTACTGGACTGTGAAATACAAGGGGTTTCTCCTTAGCACAAAACACATTCATTGTAAATGCTGGCTAATATCCACTGCATAATATGTATAATTTATTTTTTGTAAATATAGATTCTAATTTGAAAAAAGAGGTTATCTGATACTTGATAATCAAAGGACTTCATCAATCTGATAAATAGAGCAAGTTGTGCATCACAAGCTGATGAGGGCATTGAAAAGGTTCATATTAAGTATACGGATAAAATTTTTAAAAAGCAGTTGACATTTGTTGAGTTGATTTCAATGGACGGCAACTCCCCTACTGTCAGAATACATGTGTGCTCCGTAGGGTTTACAATGGCTGGTTTTTCACAAGGAGAATGCCGGGGTAAGTACCTCTGGGTTAAATCCAAACAGCCAACTTCTCGGATGGCAGGCAACCACCTACTGTTTGCCCCACCCAGGGACGCCACATCTAAATCAGTGGTGTTTATTCCACGGCATATTTTCCTAACTTAGGAACAGCTACTCTAACCAATTAAGATTTATGAAGCAGTTTCACCAAGAAGAAACCTAGCATGCTCCCAAAACACAGCTAAAGATTTGGTTACCAGGTACTACTCTAGGATCCTGACAGAACACACAAAAGACAAGAAACTCAGGGTACCTAATCGCTTGTTATCTGGGGGCTGTGTACAATAGCTCACACAAATACAAAATCCAATCGCAAAGAGGAAATGGTACTCAGCTATACTTGGAGGGTCTCTCGGGAGGTTGTGGGGAATCTGAGTTTTAAAGGTAGTATTTGTTTTGAAAAAATACTGATTGCCCCAAGACCTGAACAAGTTTACTGAAGCCTATTTCACACTCAATGCCAGGAGTGAAAGAAACACAAAATAAAGCACCAACAGTAACCAAAGGCACCTGGAGGGTTACTTTCCCTCGTGATGCCTACACAGTAAATCAATCAGGTGAAGGGGGAGGCGCCTTCATACATCATTACATACCATCCCCCTTGCGGCGTTATCACGTAGTTTATGAGAGGAAATGGAGCCATCTTTATGCCTATCCTCAATAAAGGCAGAGCACAGTGTAAGGAAAATGTCATTCACAACTGTGAGAACTAATTTGGGCAACTTATTAAGCTTTTATTCCAAAATTATGACTTCTAAGAATGGGCTTTAATAAGCTCTAAAACAAAACAAAAAATGTGTCTTTCCATTATCTTTTAACTCCATTTCCCCATGAACTTTTGAATCCACTTCCTCCTGCCGGGGGACAGTGAATTATTTAATGTGCCCCTGGTGTTACTCGCTGGGCTGTGAGCATCAGGATCTGCAGTTCAAAAGCAGCACACACTCCACAGCAGAAACATGAGGCTTTCTACTCCATAAGCAGTTACAGTCTCAAAAGCTCTGGCAGTTCCACCCTGCCCTACAGGGTCTATGAGTTAGTTTGAGGTGTGAGTCAGTCTCCACCTCCCACCAAACGACCTTCCCTGGCATGAGCATGAGAAGGAGGCAGGGAAAGATATGGATAGGATTCACCTGTGAGTAATTGCAAGCAAGATTCCCTGGAATGACGTGACATCCTGCTGTGTGTAAAAATGTGCCCTCCGAGAAGCATGAGGGAGCGCATTACCAGAAAGAGCCAGGAGGGAAGCAAGTCTTCTGGACCCAAGATTGCTGCACAATGAACCTCCTAGATGCAGAAGACAGCTACTGTATACCTTCGTAGGAGGAGTGGAACCAGGAGCTAGAGCACAGAGCAGTGATGGGCTTCCCGACCGACAAGGCAAGTAAGGCTAAATGCTTTTGTGCAGGAGACTGCTTTGCAGGTGCCTCTGGGCACTCACTCCTCACGGAAGTCAGGTTTACTAGCCCAAAGAAGTGAAGCTCAATGCCTTCAAGCGCAGGCTTATGGAGTGCGGTGCCTCTGGGCACTTAAATCAAGCCGCTGAGTTTGCTGAAGGCCTTTGAGGTTTATAGCAGACTGGTATGCTCCTTTGGGCATTTAGTAGCAGACCAGGAAAGAGCTTTGTAACAAGTCCTAATATCTCAACCCTGAGCATTTCTCACTGGCATTACAATTGAACTTCCTTCATAAACCCTTTAATCATGAAGTTTGTCTGTGTGTCTGTGTAGTCTTTGCAATGGGTAGCACAACTCAAAGAAGTAAAATAGAGACCACTACTTAAGGCCTTTCATCACACACACACACACACACACACACACACACACCTCCTTTAAAATAATAAAACTAAGTTTTAAGTTGGCTTTTCTGGCCTTTAGGAGGAAAATTCTAAGCTGGATAAACATAGCAGCCAGAATTTGAAGACTTAGTTCTACATTCTACTTATAATTGGATTGCTTCCCACCCCCCAGTAAGAAGGGGAGCCCCAACTCCAGAAGATGCTCCAATCAAGATCCACGTTTCCCAGGAGAGAAAGATGCCACAGATTTCAAGATCCCCAGCCTTGGATATTGCTTTATGATGCGCAGACAAAGATGAATATGAGCTCTATCAGACAGCATTTCTCTTTGCCTGGAGGCTTTAACTCAAGGAATTGCAAAACCACAAAATTGTCGTTGGGTAATTTCTTATGTGCCGTGTTTGTGCTAAGCTGTGACTACTAATATAGAAGACAGCCCTTACCTTCCAGACGCACACACATGAAATAAGGCCAGACAACAGGCAGCCACAGAGCAACGGACCATGTTCTTCGACAGCCGTCCATGAAAGCAACAGGGCGAGGAGAGATGGCAGGGTAACCTTTCCAAAGATGGCGCCCCAGGGCAGAATCTTGAAACATAATGGCTCTATGTCTACCTTCTAGTTAGTGACACATACTAACGTGGGTGTAGAAAAAGCCAAAATGAGTAACTAAGTAACTTTAAATTTATATCTATATCATCTATACCAAGACGTAATGCAAGGACCCTCGGTGGAAACCTCGTTGTTACCAAAACTCTGAACAAACACTTAGTCTTAGTGAAATGTATGGCACACTGGGTGTTTATTAGCTAATCTGACCACCCTTATACTGGGTTCTAAATGAGGTAGAAGCATAATTCCTTATACTTCAACTGAAAATGAAAGAATGAACCATATAATAAGTACATACTGTGCAACGGGCCCTGTGCAAGTAGCTGGGGACACACACCCAAACCCATTGCCATCAAGTGGGAGTCTGACCCTTAGGATCCCTAGAGGACAGGATGGAACAAACTGTCCCTGTGAGGGTCTGAGGCTGGAACTCTTTATGGGACTAAAAAGTCTCATCTTTCTCCCACAGAGTGGCTGGTGGATTCGACAAGCTGACCTCATGGTTAGCAGCCCAATGTGTTACCACCTGTAAAATACTAGGGTTCCCGGTAACTTTTTTTTTTTTTTTTAGCATTCTTATTTTTACTGTTCAGAGCGCCTCAGGGGAGGGCCAGCGTGTCCGCTCAGACTCCGCTTCACAAACTCTCGGTCGGCGGATGAGGCCAGTAGGGATCCTTGGTCTTGTCTCACTTGGCTTCAGGGAAGACTTCGTTCAAGTCGTCCATGGTCATCTGGTCAAACGGAATGATGTTCCTCATCTTCTCCACCTGCTTCTCGTCTTCCTCAATCCCTCAATCCCGGTCTTGGAAAGAGACACACACTCGGCACAGGTCTTGACACCTTCTTTTTCTTCAGCATCCACCAGGGCAGTGAACTTGTCCTCTGGCACAGGGATCTTCAGGGCCTTAAACGTCTTCTCCAAGTCGTCTGCTAGGCCGGCCGTGGCCACGTTGGCCTTGCAGGAAGCCCAGTCGTTGGTGGGAGGCGCCTGGGGAGAACCGCCAACCTGGAGGTGAGGCCCTCATTCCAGGACTTCAGCGAGTTGGCAACAGCCTTTTGGTTTGGGGTATGATCTCCCCAAAGGCTATCCAGTCGATGGCTTTTAGAGAGAGTTTCCGGCCAGCCGTGGTGGGATCCTTCACCAACCCGCGCGGCCCACCCATTGGTAACTTCTAATGAAGGAATCAGAGAAAACTCATGATGGACATGGATAGTGTCTCCTTTATTAAATTTTTTTGGAGGGGGTTCCTCACCCCCATGTTGGTTACATCATAAACCCACTGCTGCCAAGTCAGTTCTGACTCATAGCAACTCTGTAAGGACAGAGTAGGACTGCCCCATAGGTTTCCCAAGGCCATAAATCTTTGACAGCAGCAGACTGCAACATCTTTCTCCCATTGAATGGCTGGTGGGTTTGAGCCACTGACCTTCTGAATAGCAGTCAAGTGCTTAGCAGCTACTCCACCAGGACTCTCATTGGTTACATAGTGGGCAAAAAAACACTATTGCCCTCCGGTCAAATCTGACTCACAGTGACCCTATAGGGCAAATAGAGCTGTCCCTGTGAGTGTCTGAGGCTGGAACTCTTTATGGGACTAAAAAGGTTTCCAAGGCTATCAGTACTTATAGACGCGGACTGCAGCATCTTCCTCCGACGGAGCAGCTGTGGGTTCCGATCCCTGAGCTTTCCATTGTCAGCTGAGTACCTACTCAGTGCACGACCAGAGCTCCTCACATAGTGGGCACCTATCCAAAATATGCCCATGGAGTTGAAAAAGGGAAAGGGGGAACCAAGACACCCTTTATTATTAGAAATAACAACCCCTAAACAACAGCTAACCCTGCTTAGTGCCTAATACTTGAACACAAATTCTCACTTTATCTTCCAGAAATCTGGGGATGTAGTCTACTATTCCTAGTTTACGGACAAAGACATTA